TCTAAGGCATTGATCAGCCCGTAGCCCCTTTATTGATGAATCGATTGCTCGCTCTATTTCTGGCGATCAATCGATTGATCAATCGATCGGTCCACAGCGTCGCTATTGATCCATCCGACGGCCTTTATCTCTCACCAATAAATCAATCTCTAATCCCGTCCCCGATCAATCCCTCGGCCTCTCCTTTCCACCGATCAATCAATCAATCGACTAAGGCCCTGGCTATTGATCGAGCTCGTGATCTAGCGATCAATGTATTGATTGGTAACCTTGCTATTGATCGTGGCAACGCCCTTACCCTCTCGATGGATCCCATCTATTGACCTGTAATCTAGCGATCAATACAGCGACCGTCATTGGCTCGGGTCTTGCCGTCTCTGCTGATCGATCTATTGATCGTAAAGCTCCCTATTGATCGATCTCTTGACCGATAGCTGTTCCATCGATCACACTTTCTCCCTATCGATCGATCTCTCAAGCTTTAATCGTGATCTGTTGACTAATAACCTTTCTATTGATCACTCTCTCCCTATCGATCGATCTCTTGACCGATAACCGTTCCATTGATCACTCTCTCTCCCTATCGATCGATCTCTTGACCGATAACCGTTCCATTGATCACTCTCTCTCCCTATCGATCGATCTCTTGACCGATAACCATTCCATTGATCACTCTCTCTCCCTATCGATCGATCTCTCGAGCTTTATTCGTGATCTATTGACTGATAATCGTCCATTGATCGCTCTCTCTCCCTATCGATCAATCTATTGACTGATAAGCGTCCATTGATCGTAAATCTCCCTATCAATCGATCTCTTGACCAATAACTGTTCCATTGATCGCTCTCTCTCCCTATTGATCGATCTCTCGAGCTTTAATCTCAATCTCTTGACCTATAACCATTCCATTGATCGTAAATCTCCCTATTGATTGATCTCTTGACCGATAATCATCCATTGATCGCTCGCTCTCCCTATCAATCGATCTCTTGACCGATAACTGTTCCATTGATCAATCTCTCTCCCTATCGATTGATCTCTCAAGCTTTAATCTTGATCTCTTGACCAATAATCGTCCATTGATCGCTCTCTCTCCCTATCAATCGATCTCTTGACCAATAATCATCCATTGATCGCTCTCTCTCCCTATCGATCGATCTCTCGAGCTTCACCCTCTCCCTCGACCGCTCCACCGCCCTCCCTCCCTCTCCCGATCAACCCATCGATCTCCCTATTGATCCACTCACCTCTTCGTCGCTCCGGCAGCCACCCCCGACTCTCTCCGCACCAAATCCCGCTCCCTGGAGCCGTCCACCGGTGGCTACCACCCCTCAGCCCGGTGGCTACCACCCCTC